TCGTGAGCAGAAGAATCTCCTGTTGGAAAGTTTTGCTACCTCTTAGTTTGAATGTGAACTATGCCCATAGGTTCACACGTTTGAACACTTGGTCCAAAGCTAGTGATGCTGCTTGTGGGAGGTTGTGAAAGCTTGAGGAAGTGCAGCCTCACTTGAGGAAGTGAGACAATGGGAGCCATCTTATGGCTGTATAGCTCAGCCCCACTTTCTATTCACTGCATCCTAGCTGGATGCAACAAATATTCAAACGAGGCTTTTGCTCCTGACACCATGTCTTTCCCACCAGGATAGACTGGATCTCTCTTTTCTCTGAATTGCTTTCATCAGGGCATTTAACTATAGTGGTGAGAAAGTAACTAATTCATCACCCATATGTTCTAGAACTCCTCCATTCTTTTCCTCTGTATCATTGTGACCTGCACCCATTGAACAAGCCTTTCTGACTCATTTTTGCAGGTAATTGTGCTCATTGTTACTTCAGTTTTTTATACCTTGTAACTGATTAGAGGATGATTGCATATCAAAATACAAACTCTGGCATTTGAAGGTAGAGATTCTGCTCAAGCACAAGCCTAAATTGCAGTTTACTCCAGCATTATCAGAGTTCTATACTGGGGAACATAGAGCTTTGTCTCAGCTTTATCATAATGGCATTGTGATCTTTATGTACAATTTTTCTTTATGTATCTCTCCTTAGATTTATATGATATGAATGACAATGAAAGAACAAGCTTGTATGCCTTTAAGTAGCTGACTGAAACATAGCAAATTACGATTCTGGGAGATTCTGGTTGAGTTATGTAGTCTTTGCTGAGTTTTGACCCTCAGCACCAACATAAAATCCACATGTGGTAGCATACACCTGTAACACCAGCATTCTGGATGTGGAGATACAAGGATACCAGTGGCTTGCTGGCCAGCAAGATCCAGGCTCAATTAAAAATCCTATGGAAAACAATAAGGTGGAGAGCTATAGAGCAAGGTACTCAATGTTGACCTCTGGTTTCTACAGTCACATGAATAAGGAAACACACACACACTTTGTGGTCTTTTGAATAAGAATGGTCCCCATGGACAAGTATTTGGAATGCTTAGGGAATAGCATTAGGAGGTGTGGCCTTGTTGAAGAAGGTGTGGCCTTGTTGGAGAAAGTGTGTCACTGGGGTGCGTTTGGGAATTCAAATGCCCAAGCCAAGCCCAGTGGCTCACTCTGTTGCTGTTACATGTTGATCTTGCTTCCTTCTCCAGCACCATGCTTCCCACCATGTTGATAATAGCCTAAACATCTCAACCAGCCCCAACTAAATGCTTTTCTTTATAAGAGTTTCCAAGGTCAAGGTATCTCTTCACAGCAACAATATTCTACAACACCCCCCCACACACACACACAGAGAGAGAGAAACAGAGACAGAGAGGAAGGGAGAGAAGGAAGGAAGGAAGCAAGTCCTAGTTCTCATAGAAACCTTTGGTTTCTATGAATCATTATGTATGACTTGTTAGTGCCCAATGAGAGCATGTCAACATCTCCTCACAAAGAGAATTATTGTGTGATAAGGAGTTAGGGTGAAAAATAACTTCAGAAACAAAGGTTATTTTCTAAATCCTCAGATGCACTTAAGACAAGGTAGGGGTTCAATTACATAAAAGAATAAACCTTCTGTAATTTAGGATCTGCTATTTTTCATTATGATATCTTACTTTATTTTCCCTTTCAATTTTTTACTGTCCAATTCTACCTCCTTATTTATTGCAAAGCTTTCTTTCATTTCTTGAAAAAATATTTATATATAAGATATATATCATATATATACCTAAGATACATACACACACACACACACACACATATATATATATATATAATATATATATTTATCACCTAAGTTTTTCATTTCAAGGGAAGTAAATACTGGCATACCCACTGAGTCTGAATCATTCATTTGCTCAGGATAACCATACTAATAAGTCTCAGAGACAGAATTACCTGAGTTGAGAACCTGAACATTTAGCTTGACCTCAGGCATACCACAGATTTGAATGAATCAACCTTCAGATCTTTTGTGCAATTATACACTTTAAAATTTTAAAGAAACTATTGCTTCAACAAGATGGCTATGTCTAAAATCAAAATTAATATTTCTTAAAAAAAGATTCAAAACCACAAGATAACAAAACCACATGACACCAAATTGGGAATTAAAACCAGTTTTTACTTGAAATATATTTTATCAGCCACATAAAGAAATGATTCCTTTTACCTAAAACATCTCTTAATGTGTGGCCAATACTTGACAAATACTTCAGAGAAGAATGAAGGTCTTTAAGACACATATTACAAACTCCTAGTTTAGTGTCTCTCTTAATTTCATTACTCAAGACTTTATTCTGTGGATGAGATCACTAAATTCAATGCTACAACTCCTACTTTCCTGATTAAATCTTTCCACAGTGCTTACTAAAAGTTATTCTATCACTTTAAGGTTACCCAAATTTCCTACAAAGCCAAACAATATATGAGGCAAAAATGTATACTATTGGCATGGCTTCTTTGAGTATGATATTGCATGACTGCATTAGCATTTGCAGTAGAATCATATTATTATATAAACAAAGATATTGAAAAGTGGACAGACAGAACTTAAGAGGCTTTGGCTGAGTTCTAAGTTCTTCCTCCTATTCCTTGTTCATCAGAATGTTCATATAGGAAATCTTTGATCCCTAGATCAACTGAGGAGTTCTGGTGGGCACATCTTGTCTGTAGCTCTCTTGAAGTTATAATATGTTTGAGAACTAACCTTTAACTGAGGTATGTCTTGGATCCATCCTAAGCCTCTGATCTTTTAGTGTGTCAGGTTTATCTAAGCAATGTTTTATATACTATCCAAATTGTGAATTCATATCTTTAATAAAGGGTGAATATTGAGTTTATACAATAAGCACTATTTTAAAAAAACAACCCCCCCAAAGAAAAACAATCTCAAAAGAATCTGAAAAACATAAAACCAAGAAAAACCCTATTACATCATTTTATAAACTCCAAATGGATATTCAGACAGAATTTACATCACTCTGATTTCACTGTGTGATAACTAAATATTTTAACTGGTACAGAGAAGACATACATGATCAATATATGGTCTCTGGCCTCCCAGCACACCCTCCCCAAATCACTTCCTTTACCCTAATTAAATAATCTCTTCATATGCTAAACACAGTCACTCTGTATGGACAATGGATTATACTTCAACTTTCTCTTTTCTAGTCACTCAGCCATTGGGAGGCTGTACAAAACTCTTCTTTTGCTTCCTCTGTATTGTGACATCATATCTCTCTAAATCGCCATTTCAGTCTGCAATACCTCCCCCTTATATTTCTTCTTGTTTTACTTTCCTGTTTGATAACATGGTTCCCAGTAGTCCAAGTTGCTATATTCATGAGAAACTTTTATCGTTTAGAAACCTGAATTTGTTGACATTTTGTTTGAAATAAATTATGCCATGCTTCTTTATATGTTTACTCTATATTTCCCAAAGGAGAATATACTCTTGAGAGAATCTTCTAAATGTTCCATCAGCACTTAGAACAGTTCATTAGCAAAAATGCTGACTAAAAGTTGTTGATCCACTCACTGGTCTTTCATATTTTTCTATTCAGGGGGACTGGTAAACAATTATTCTAACATACATTCTTTCCTCAGAAGAGTTTAAGAGTAGTGATAAATTGTAGCAGTTTTCACACTGTTCAACTTCAAATTTGTAAATGGATACAGAATGTGTAATGGCCATAAAAGTTGTATCCTTGAAGAGTCAAATACTAGCAGTGTGTATATTACTTAATTCAAAAATGAAGAAGAAGTTTTGGAGTAATGTACAACTACATTTTGTTTTGAGTTCATTCACATATTTAATCAAATTTGCCAGAAAGTTTATAGTAAAACTCATAGTAGAAGAGAAAGACAAGAGCACCAATCGTGATATAAAACTCAAAGTCATGCTACACATTTACAAAGTTCGGATAATAAGGGAATTAGAAAATGTATGAATGCACAAGCTGAGGTGGAGGTCGGTCAGAAGCCTGTGAACAGTCTTTGGTCCAAACGTGGCTGGCTGCCTCTAGTTTGTTTTTCAATGAATCTAAAGGTTCAGCACGCTGGTCAGCTCCCGGTGCATCTCAATAGGCCTCAGAAAGCATGGCGTCCGAAAGGAAAACACCATCTGTTCTTTGTATCAATAATTGCAATTCCACTACCGGTGAAGACAGCGTAGCAGAACCAGGATATTAAATGTTGCTGTTGCTGAGTTTGGGGGTGTCTTATTTGGTGTGTGGGGTTCCTACTCCTTCCCTCAGATCCTTAATGGAGGAAGGGCTGACCAACCAAGGCTCTTCAGAAAGTGCTAGGACTGATGATAGCTTCCCTGGCTTGGGGGAGGGGGGATGCTCTTGATTTCTATGTAAATAGTTGAGCTTCATGATCCACACAGCAGGTCACTCAAATATGATGCCTTTGTTTTTTACAGTGGACACATGTGGCCTAAGTTGCTGGACTAGAGGTTTACACAGTGGAGACAAACATGCTGGCTGCCCTGTCCCCGCCCCCTCCCACGATCCCCACAGCCCAGGTGAAGAGTCTGAACTAGAAGATGGACCTTTTCTTGAAGGCAATATCTCACTGAATTCCTCTTAGTGAGACCTCTACGCATGCAGAAAGCCTGCTCTCCGCTGGTCAGAAGTTACCATTGGCTTCTTAATCCTCCCCCCCCACCGGGGGGAAAACTTTTTGTCCCCGGGAGGGGAAGAGAGGTCGAAGCAAGGAGAGGTGTTCTACACAGGACAGGGGACATGGAGTGCTGGAGGGCATGAGGGTCAAAAGTAGTGGAGCTCTGAGGATTTGGGAGCGCTCCCCGCTTTCCGCCTCCAGGCCCTTGCAGCCGCCCTCTCCGCTGCGGACACTGGAGAGTTAAGCCAATAAACACGTAAGCGCCGCTCGCTCCCCAATCGGCAAGATGCCTCTCCGGCTCTTGGCTGCATCGACAGCTTGCAACACACGGCATCTTTTCTGGAGGCGCCTCCTTCAGCGGCTGCAGATGGCATCCGGCTGCGGGCTCGGGGCTCGCAATTGAGTCTCGCCCTTGCCCACCTCGGGCGCCCAGACGCACCTCTCCCTTCTCCTCCTCCCCTCGCGCTCCTGGGTCTGCGCCCAGCTCGCGCTTGCCGGGCGGAAGAAGCAGTCGCGGCGGCCGAGGCTGAGCGGCAGCACCAGCTCTCCCTGACCTAGGAAGAAGCGCCCACCGGGACAGCCGACCTTCGGCTGCCTCCAGCGCCCCCCGCCTTCTGCACCCCAAGCCGGGGGCTCCGGGAACCCCCACCCCCAGGCGCCACCATGCTGGACCCTTCGTCCAGCGAAGAGGAATCGGATGAGATCCTGGAAGAGGAGAGCGGCAAGGAGGTGCTGGGCTCGGCCGCGTCCGGAGCGCGCCTGTCTCCTAGCCGCACCAGCGAGGGC